CCCCGTCCCCCAAGAGAGAGAATTTCAGTTGCCCTGGTATGGAGTGAGCTTATGATGTATCTGGAAAGTTTGCCTATCAGGCTTTCATCATTGCTTACTAGTGATCGAACACCTGTCATTGTACTCCTCCACGTGGCAGGAACCTCAGGCAGAGAGCTGAATTCCCAGTTGCCCAATTTTGAGCATATGCTATTTCAGTATATTAGCTGATGGCAGAGTCTGCTGTCCTATAAATTAACTTAACACTCTTTCTCAGGAGAGCAGATGACTGCTTTCTAAAAACATTATTTTTACTCCAGTTATGATGGCTTGTAAAAACACTGGGAACGGGATTGACAAGGAGATATTAAGAAACATATGGCATCCCTGGAGACTGATCTGATCTAAATGGAGTTGGATTTTCTACTTCTAGACCGTCGTCATCATAAATGATTTTGTTTGAAAAGAGGGGCTCAGTGGAGAGATGGGGCAGAACAGGAACCTTTGTGTTTAGTTATTGGTGAAGGGCTTTCTGAGTTGTATTCATTGACCCAAAATAGTTAAGCATAAGGAGGAAAAAAGGGACAGAGGGACAAATGTTGTATTAAGTAGTTTGTTAATAGAGAATTTTTATTTTTAGTGCTTTCTGGAAGTAATGAATATTATCAAGGAAAATCACAAAGAGAGTACATACTTCACTATGAGTCTAATTCTGATACTTCCTTCTTCACTCCTCTCCCTTTCTTTATTTTCTTTGTTTTACCCACTACACTATTGATTTTGGCCCAATCTCCCGTTCTTTTTTTGATGCCAGTAATAGATTCAATATTTGACCTCAACTCTGTCATTTGTCAGGGGAATTCTTCAATTATTGGTTAATTTGCATCATTAATTAACTTTTGCTATTTTCAGATTCTTCCTTATAAAGACACAAATCTTTTGTCTTATTTTTCCATAAGTAATATGTTCTGTGTATTACATACTTCAATTGTTGCTAGGTATATAAATTGAACTCCTTTAGAGAGGTCACTGGAAGTTAGAGAAAGGTGAAACCTAAACTAAAACCAAAAAATATATATAGGTAATTTATTTGAGGTCTTAGTAAGGAAATCTTGAATTAGCATTATTCATTCTTTAATAAACCTTTACCTATACCAACTGTTGTACCAGGAACTGCACTAGGTCCCTATGTTTGAAATTTAGTAAGGACTAAACTTCTTTGGCAATCAACCATTTTTTTTTTGGATGACCACCAAAAAAAATGACTTGATTCCTTTAATTTACGTAGTGAATGTGTAATGATTCTCTGCTCAGCAAAAAAGGCATGAAATCTTCAGGGGATTCTAAGGAGGAGGTATTTTTGGATGGTGGGTATGGGTCCAATAAAGTAAGTCTATATTATACTTCTGTAATAGTTTAAACCTATTAATTTGTTACCTATATAAATATCGATGGTGTCTTTTTTGCTCCTTTTTCGGGGGCTATCCCTAGCTATGCTCAGCGATTAGTCTTGGATTTTTCACATAGGAATTACTCCTGGCAGTACTTGAGGGCCATATGGTAAACTGGGGATCAAACCCAGATAGACTGCTTATAAGGCAAGTGCTATTTGCTATTATAGTATTACTATACTATCGCTCAGGCCCCAGAATGTTGATTGTTTCTTATCAGTGAAAAATGATTTGGTGTTTTTCCCTCTAAATATTAATGAAAAGGTCCCCATACTTTCTTTTTCAAATTCAAAACTAAACATAAGGATGTAATCCTTATCCTTCTCTCCACGCCTTAATTGAAAAAGCAAAGAAAAAAATTCTTCTTTCTGAAATCCTTTTATCACGGAGAGTAAGAGCCAGACTATTGGACTGTGTGGTACCACGGTGATCTCAAGAATTATAGGTAGCTGCTGATTAATCATTTCTACTTTTGAACTTTCTGGTGTGTTCTCAGTTTATGTGGAAGAATTCACTTTTTCCCATTTAATCATCTTTTACTTTTGAAGTAAGAGTTTTATCTAGAGAAATACATGGGGAGATAGATAAGTACTTCTCTAAGAGTGGAGAGAACCCCATCTTTTTTCTTTGAATTAACCATTTGTATAAGCCACAAAACTTGTTGCCTTATCATAAAAAAAAAATAAGATTGAGAGGTGGGATTAGAAACACAGAATCAGGTTAAAGAATTGTAGCTGACAAAAATATGCACTGAACTAAACAACAAAGTTAATATCAATGTGACGTATTATAAACCACTGATATGTCACCATATTAACTAACTCTCATAGCTTAACATACGGTATTCATTTTTAGAAAAATAGTTTTTTGAGTAGTAGCATAATTTTTTAATTGTAAAACTGTGTACTCAGTTGGGATTAATAGACGGAGTGTTTCCTAGGCACCAGGAAAGCATTTGCGACAGTTTCTCTGCCTATCTATATCTCTAAATGAGAAAATTTCCAGTAACAGCTACATTTCTTTTTTGTTATTTTGACTTCAATGAGGTATGTTTTTAGATTAGCAGGTACTTAGTAGGTGTTCTCATATTGAATGGTTCTGTGGTCACCTATAGAAAAGGTCTTTCTATGGATATATATGAAGAAAATACCACATCATCATAGAACAAAGGCACAAAATAGAACATCATTAATAGGAACAGAAGTCCTCTTCCTCTTACTGAAACAAATAAGTGAAAAACAAAAACATAGCAATAAGACATACTGATTCTTTTCTCTGGGCAAGAAATATGTGTGAATCATAGACATAAAAAATGTTTGCAGGGGCCATATCATCTGGTAGTATTTCATTAAGAACACTGGAGAAATGCTGAAATATTATTTGTGTTATGATTTTGTTTTATTCTTTGTTTTTTTTTACCCCTTCAGCATCAAGAAATGATTGTCAGTACAAATTTTATTTTCTTTGATAGAATCAGTGGCACAGTGAGAACTGTGTTGGCAAGAAATACTAATAGGAAGTTAAGGACCTTGCAGCTGAAGAATTTAGTGGCAATTTTAATGTATTTTCCTGGGTTAATCCTACAAGACCTCTGAGGACTCAGTGTCTTCATTTGCAAACAAAAATAGTAGCCTTAGCAGGTCCAGGGAAGGAAAAATGGTAGCAGGTTGAAACTTGATTCCTTGAATCTGTTTTAATTGCCTACCTTCCCCAGTGAGATTTTGTTTAATCAATAGACTTTGATATTGATCAGCTTATAGTTTACTAACTAAATGTGTTTTGGAAGGTCCTTTATGGTTCAAAATTCCTTTATTTATTTATTTGTTTTGGTTTTGGGGCCACACACTGAAGGCTCAGAGTTTACTTAATCCTGAGTTTACTACCCAATGAGAGGTCACACCTGGTGGTACTCAAGGGAGTATTTGGGGTGCTGGAAGTCTAACCTAGGTTGACTGTATGCAAGGCAAGAACCTACCCACTGTACTATTGCTCTTGCCCTACATTTTAAAATTCTTAAATTTTAAATGACAATAATCAATAGAATCTTAATTTAATTCTCAGAAACCTAATATGTTTAAATTATCTCTATTCTGTAAGTAAAAGTAAAGTAAAGGCCCTCCCGTTGATCGTCGATTTGCTCGAGCGGGCCCAGTAACGTCTCCATTGGAGACTTTGTTGTTACTGTGTTTGGCATATCGAATACATCACGGGGAGCTTGCCAGGCTCTGCCGTGCGGGCGAGATCCTCTCAGTAGCTTTCCTGGCTCTCCGAGAGGGGCATAGGAATCGAACTCGGGTCGGCCATGTTGGCTACATGCAAGGCAAACGCCCTACCGACAACTGTAAAATTTTATTGCTTTTCAGTGTGCAGTACTTGACTGTGAAAACTATTTCATAGCAGTCATAGAAAACTAAGGAGGAGGAATTCTTAGTGAAAACATAGATGAGAATCTGTGAACCCTCAAAACAAATAAAATTCCATGAATAATGCCATTCAGAAAATGAACTTAAAACTTATTTTATATTCTCAAAAGGCTTATAAAACTAGTGAAAGGACGAGATGTCCACTTGCGAGCTTAGGGAGTCCAGATTTCAAGCAGTTATGGAGTGAGATTAAGTCACATAGATTTTTATACTCTCTGCTGCAATGAAAATGACTTCCCAAATCACTCCCACCGCAACTTCCCCTTCCTAGTATGACATTGCCAGAATGTATTAATAACATCAGTGATTTGGGAGAGAGGGTCAGCCGGAATTTTTGTGGTAGTGCAACACTCACCCTCAGACTTATATTTTCTGATATTTGAACATCAGAATATCAGAAGATGCCAAGATCGGTATCTTTGACTGTCTGACACACCTCCACTGCTCATGCTTTTACTAGATAGAATCAGTTGTTCTTCACTTTGTCTATCTCTAGTCTCATTATATAGGAGTTTACAGATGGTCCGTGTACCTGCAGGTAAGTTATTTCTAAAAGACACGTTCTAAAATCAGGAAGTACAGGAACAAAGGAAAGCAGAAAATTTTGGCCATTGAAGTAACACCTAGCTGTGAAGAACACGGAAAAAAGACACGGGAAAATTTTTTTTCTGAAGGCATTTTTCAATCTTATTTTGCGTTGAATATTATTATTAACATATTATTTAATAGAAGATGTTTACATGGTCTCTTATGTCCTGGATCAGATAGAAATGACCATGGGAAGAATGGAACATTTCCTTCAAGGAATCAGGAAGTGAGGGCAGAGATGAGGCTATGATGAACATCAGGCATCAAAGAGAAGCCTCCAGACACAGGAGTTAGCCCATGTTGTAGATAGATCTTGATTCCTGTTAGATGATAAAGTTGGATTTCAAGGACCTTTACCCATGAGCTATTTAACAGGGTCAAAAAGCCTCTCCAATAAACCATATGTTAAATCACTGAATACTAAGCAGAGAAACAACAAAGCATAAAAATAAGGCAAAAGAAACAGTATCAACACTAGAACTGGAAGCTGATTTGAGATACTGTAATAATATTTAGATTGTAATTCATTTCTTTTTCTTATTTTTGTTTTTAATTTCAGATGCTGCATAACAAGCATGTGATGGTCCGCGTGGGCGGAGGATGGGAAACCTTTGCAGGGTATTTGTTGAAACATGATCCCTGCCGAATGCTGCAGATCTCCCGGGTGGATGGCAAAACATCCCCCATTCAGAGCAAATCTCCAACCCTTAAGGACATGAATCCAGACAGTTACCTGGTTGTCTCTGCCAATTATAAGGCTAAGAAGGAGATTAAATGAAACTAGTTGGTTACTGCAAGGGGACTATCATAATGGCCTGTATCCACTTATCCAGTGTAGTCACTTTAGTTCACATACTTGGGAAAAAAAGAAGCAGCAGACAGAAACCATCACAGCATATTGAAGAATGCTCACAGAGTAGCACTATTTATTTGTAATGCTTCTGTAGGAGATGACAGAGAAATCCTACTCAGATTTTAAAACTTTAGGCAAATTATTTTTTCTTAATTGTGAATATGGTATTTAGCTTACAGTATTAGAAACCCTATTAGAAATTCTAGCGAGAGATGAAATCTGAAATTAGAGTAAGCTATTTGGAATTTACAGATAAGTCAACAGAAAGTGCCTGCTTTATGTCTACAGAGGAAAAGCACCCCAGACATTTTATAATTGTGATTTCAAAGTATTTTGTAAAAAGTGATAATTGGTGTGATATTGTGCTACTAAAAATATCCAGCAACACTATAAATAAGTACCAAGTATTAACTCACAATAGCAATACTTTACTGGAAAGGCCACTTCAGAAAAGTTTACATTTATTTGGAAGGTTGCCTTAAAGTTTATTCTTTATCTATGACCAAATATCTGGGGTACTTTGGGATGTCTTGAGCATACCCCTTAGGGAATCCCTTCTAAACGGTTTCTCACAGTCCTAAGCACATGGCTGTGTTCAGACTGACTTAGTGTAATTCACACACATGAGCTGACATTCCTTTATATTTTGACAAATGAAATTGTACAGTCAAAATGCTCACTGGCATCAAGGTATTTTAATGCATTTTCTTATTAAGATATATCTTTAGTTAATCCTACTTTGCTATACTGTCTAGTAAAGTAAATTCACTGTAGCCAATGATGTTACAGATTCTGTATACCCTTGTATACTAGGACAGGCTGTTTTGTATCAATAAACAGCTAAGTAGTGTCCTTACTGATTCAAGAATTAAAAAGATAAATTTTTCAAAATTAAATGTCTCTATATAAGTTCTTCATTCTTTAATAAACTCATATTCAACTGGGATGTTTCCCTGAGAGTTGCAGGAAGAGTCAAATGGTGTTTACCCTACTATCTCTGCTGTATGGCCACTGTGTGGTAGCGGTGGTATCTGTTCTTTCCTCCAGGATCCAAATTGTATTACAAGTATTCCTTAAATTGTTATCTTGAGTAGCACTGTAGCACTGTCATCCTGTTATTCATCGATTTGCTCGAGCAGGCACCAGTAATGTCTCCGTTGTGAGACTTCTTGTTACTGTTTTTGGTATATCGAAGATGCCAAGGAAAGCTTGCCAGGCTCTGCCATGCATGCGGGATACTCTTGGTAGCTTGCTGGGCTCTCCAAGGGGGACGGAGGAATTGAACCCGGGTTGACTATGTGCAAGGCAAATGCCCTACCTGCTGTGCTATCTTAAGTATAAAGACTACAGACAGAAATTGTTATTTTCTCACTTTCTAACAACTATGACATTTATCTTACTTCAGAAAATTAAGGAGGATGTATTCCAGTTTTCAGAGTAACTCCTTGTAAAAAAAAATCAGTATGATCTCACACCTCAGTGGTATACAGAGAAACAAATAAGGATATGAACAACATCAATCTATTAGAAACCCACACTGGAATATAGACCAGAAAGTTACAAGCTGATGGTGAAGAGAGGTCTAGGGAATTACTAGGTTGACTGAAGGTAACCTGGAAACATAGGAGAGTCTGGAAGTCTGAAACACCTGGGTGGTGGTCAGAAGAGGTGACCTTATGCAGTAAAATCATAGCTCTCAATTAAAAAATAATTGGATGGGTGATGGGGGGGGGAATGTCAAAGCAGAGGTATGTCAAAGCATTAGAGACAAGGGGAATGTCAAAGCAGAGGAATGTCAAAGCATTAGAGACAAGGGTGAAGAGTCATGGTTACTTCAATGGTAATGGTGTATAGTAACTTTGTTCATCAATGTTGTTGTAACTGAAGTTCACTTAATCAACCACACTGAGACAGTCTTGTGGCAGGAGAACAAGGAGGTTTATTTACACCAGCTAGGTAAAGCACTTGAAGCTATCAGTGCCCAATCAAGGGTCAAAGAGCATTTACAGGGTATTCATGCAAGCTTCATTATTCTTCCATATTCATCTGTCACAAAAAAGCTAAGTGGGGGAAGGAAGTTACAGCATGGCATCTTATCTTACCATGCAACAAGCAACACAGCTCACAGCAGAGGAAGGGAGTTTCCTGGAACAAGGGATCTTGTGGTTCACAAAAATTTCAAGTTAAGGCATTTCTCAAAGCTAAACTTTTTCCACCTATAGTAATAAGTTCAAATAATATTTCATAAAATAAAAAATGCATATCATAAAACTACATTAGTATAATTTACATATCACAATACCATAAACTTAAACTATGCTTGCTCGAGCGGGCCCAGTAACGTCTCCATTGGAGACTTTGTTGTTACTGTGTCTGGCATATCGAATACTCTCGGTAGCTTGCCGGAAAAATAAATACATTTATGCTTACCCCAACAATGTAGTGACATCTAGGAAAAAAGTCATGAATAAAACCTAAAATTTTGTAGAATATGAAATCTCCACTGAAAGTCAATAGTTTTAATATCTTTAAAACTACAGGTTTGTGCTTCAAGCCTGTGTTCTCCCTTGAGCATGAGTGCTTTTCTCTTTCCTTGCTTGTTTTTCGAGCCCTGAAAAATTTCCTCTCTTCTCTCTCAAATTTCCTCTCTTCTCTCTCAAATCTTTCTAAATAAGTTTTGTCCAATAAAATCTACCTTGCTTCGCATACACAAAAAAGACATTGAAATTACAGTTTGTCGCTGAACTAATACTCTATATCATAATCAGTAATAATATTTCTATCAAAAGTTTATGCTGTTTATGTATTTTTATATCTTTAATAAAGTTAATTTCATTAGTTTGATTAACAATAATCTCAGGAACTTAATGTTTTAACCAAAACTTTTTTCAATGGGTTAATCCCATGGTTTTACACGTGAGGCATAAAATAGATTTGTTTGGGGATCTTAAATTTAACTTTTGGTTGCTTTAACTGGGCTAAAATCAAAATGCCAACAGGGCTGCCAACCAAAGATTAAGGAGATCTGGTGGGGTTTTTTTGGGGATTTTTATTCTTGGTTTAATTTTTTGGCACTTGAATTCAGTCTTCTAGCTGTTGCTTGATTTCTTGGCTCATGTTTCCAATCTTTTGTGTTAAGAGCCAGACTATTTCAACAATGCATTGCTGCCTTTAAAAATTTTGTTTTGCTTGTTATTTTCTTTTTAATTAAGACAGTGATTTACAAAGCTGTTCATAATAGAATTGTTCCAGGCATACTATGTTGCAACACCAATTCTACTACCAGAGTTCCCAGGGTCTCTGCTGTCCCTTAGCCTGCCCCCATGTAGGCATGTAACAAATTTATTTTATATTGCTTGCTCCAACAAACTTAAAGGCAAATAGAATGTTCAGAGGATCATCAACAAAAGTCAATTTGCAATGATTAATTGCTAAATGATTTAACCTATGTAAATAAGGAGTCCAAACCATTTAACTCAATATAGTATACTGCCTCTTCTCATTTACATAATTCAGTTGTCAACTTTGACCTCTAAAACATATTCCATTAAATTTTATTATAACTTTGAACCTATTGCACTAACTATCATATATCTCCTTTCATAAATAGGCTTCTCTTTTTTCTTATTTGCTGTCTTGGCAGGCATATAACAAATTTATTTTGTATTACTTCATCCTGGAGCGATATCGCTAGAGCGATAGCACAGCGGTAGGGCGTTTGCCTTGCACGCAGCCAACATGGCCGACCCGAGTTCGATTCCTCCGCCCCTCTCGGAGAGCCCTGCAAGCTACCGAGAGTATCTCGCCGGCACGGCAGAGCCTGGCAAGCTCCCCGTGACGTATTCGATATGCCAAACACAGTAACAACAAAGTCTCCAATGGAGACATTACTAGGCCCGCTGGAGCAAATTGATGAACAACGGGAGGACCGTGACCGTGACCGTGACTTCATCCAAAAAACTTAAATGGCAAATACAATTATTAGAAAATAAGTCAATAAAAACCAAATTGTGGTGATTAATTGCTATATATTTTTAACCTTTCTTAATGTAGTAGAGAACAACCATATAACATTAGTTAGTGCCATATTAACTATGATACTGTGATGCAAAGTTTCTCCTATTCTTTAAAGGATCTCTTTTAATACTTCTTGCAAAACGGTTCCAAGGCTATAAATCCCCTGAGCTGTTGCCTATCCATGAAGTTCTATATAGTTCCTTCAAATCTGAATTATAATCTAGCTATTTTCCTAACAGAATCTATTTAATGTGGACCCTTAGGGCTTTTTGGATCTTCATGCCTGTAACCCTCCACACATTGGTGCTTTTTCCTTTTTGCTGCTTTTTTCTTTACACCTCAGCACAGGCTGGAAAGGATCCATGGGATCAGATTGGGTCTATCTAGATAATCCTTTTTCAAAATAATTAACTTAATCACGTCTATAAAATGCCTTTTTCCCCCATATATGCTATCATTCACAAATTCTAGATGTTAGAATATGAACATCTTTGGAAAAGGATGTTCTCCCTTCCTTAAAGCATAAATCCTTCTCCTAATGCTTATATCTCATAGTCTTATATCACTAAGAAAACATGATGACAACTGACATCTAGTCACTTGATGAATGATTGACTCTGAAAGAGGTTACAGGAGAAGGTAGATGAGATTATTTTCAGAAAGAAATAGCCAAACATATATGACTCTTACTGATTGACTCTGTAATAAGAATTGTCCAGGCAATAGTCTGGAATGGGTCGACATCTTATTTTCAGCTAGATTAAAGATCCATGGAAAAACAATGAAGTAGGGATTTTATTACTGAATGAAATACTATGTCTAGAAATGTGCTTGAGAACAGAGTACCCTAATTCAGAAGTCCAGAAGATAAATAAAACACATTATAATGCAACAGAGGGGTTGAAACTGGCAATAGAATGTAGGCCTCACACATTGCATGCAACTGACCTGTTTGATCCCAGTGAACACTGACCCCTGAACATCACAG